GATAATACCACGCTGGGTGGAGAAGTAGATATGCTGGACAGTAGGGCTAGGATTCAGAGAGACAGAGACAAATTGGAGGATTGGACCAAAAGAGATGTCATGACGCTCAGTAACTGCAGATGCAGAGTCCTGTATTTAGGATGGAATAATCCCATGCACTAGTACAGGCTGAAGACCGACTGGCTAAGAAACAGCTCTGGAGAAAAGGACCTGCGGGTTACAGTGGACAATAAGCTGCATATGAGCCAAGAGTGTGCTCTTGTTGCAAATAAGGCTAACAGCATACTGGGCTGCACTAGTATTGTATAGTGTTGTCAGCAGATCGAGGGAAGTGATTATTCTCTCTCTTTGGTACTGGCGAGACCACATCTTGAGTACTGTGTCCAGATTTGAGCCCCCCACCATTACAGAAAGGATGTGGACAAACTGGAGAGAGTCCAGCAGAGGGCAATAAAAATGGTTAGTGGCCTGGGGAACATGACAGATGAGGAGAGACTGAGGAAAGTGGAAGTAGAGGAGAGAAGACAGAGGGATTTAATAACAGCCTTCAACTGTCTGAAGGATGGTTACAAAGGGGATGAAGCTATACTATTCTCAGTGGTGGCAGATGACAGAACAAGGAGCAATAGTCTCAAGTTGCAGCAAGAGAAGTTTAGGTTAGGAACTTAGGAACTCTTTCATGAGGATGTAAATCATGGGAACAGGCTATACAGAGAAGCTGTAAAATCTCCATCCTTAGAAGTTTTTAGGCTCGGCAAGACAAAGCCTTGGCTGGGATGATACATTTGGAGCTGGTCCTGCTTTGAGCAGGGGGTTGGTCTAGATGACCTCCTGAGGTCCCTTCCAACCCTGATCTTCTACAATTCCCTTTACCCTTCAGCCCCAGAATACAAGTGAAACATAAAAAGTCTCTGTTACAAAAAGTAGGATACAGCTAAAACTTTACTGTAAAACAGTTAAGATGGCTATACCACTAGACAGATACAGAACCAAACACAACTATATCACAAATTAATCATCTAATATTGTGAAACATCTGTACTCCCACCTATAAACATCTCAACAGTGATACAACTTTCATAGACTATACCCAAGGGTCTACCCAACTTGAGGCAGCAGCCGGCCAATTTTGCAGGGAGAATGTTGGGCATTTTTGTGGGCTGACTGCAGTGCCCTCCCACCCCCACTCCATGCCACTGATTGGCTGAGGGGCTCCAGTGGCCCCACCCTTGCCACTGATTGGCTTTGAAGGCTATATGTCATGTAGCCTTGCCCCTTGCTGATGATTGGTGGGGAGGGGCAGGGCCTGATGACAGGCAACCCTCTAAACCAATCAGTGGCAAGGGATAGGGGTGGCAGTCATCTTGGGTTTTCCTGTGTGCTGGCAGCCCACCTCCCCCTGGCAGACTGTGCAGCTAGACCACAGCACCATGAGGACTCCCCCTCTGGGTAGCCAGCATTTTCTTTTTAGTAAGCTGGGGTTTTTTCCCTTTTACATGGATGTCACAGACACTGCCTGCTTTCATGGAAAATGCTGGATTTTGCATTTTCCATCAAATCCATGAAATTGCAATTTTGGTAAGTCCCAGCTACAGCACATACCACATAACCCTAAATTTTGCTCTCAAAGGCATCAACCTCTGGATGCTGAATTTTACAATATACATATCATAGCCTACTCTAGCATGACAGACAAGGCTGAAGTACAACTACATTCTGCTAGACAGAAACATGCCTCAGCTTTCTTGTACTGGCATAGCAACGCATCCATTTTAAATAATTTAATCCTTAATCTCATATAGGATATCATGATAATATGATGCATGTGAATGACTTAGCCCAGGGGTGGCCAACAAGTGCCCGGGCAGCCTCTGTGTCTGGAACACAGTAGATCGGGGAGGGGACTGGCAGCAGAGCGGCAAACAGTAGAAAGCAGAACATCAAATCAGGCAGGGAGCACAGGGCAGAAAGCAAAGTAGCAGACTGGGTAAGGGAAAGAGATCAGAGTGGTACTCAGGGAGGGTGTAGGGTTTATTTGTGGCATGTCTGCCAATAAAGGTTGTTCCCCACTGACTATAAACATTTCTTTGTCTCCCGAATAAGTTTTGTTTTTAATAAACCTCATGAGACTCCACAAGTGAGGGAAAAATGAAGTTTTCCCACTGTTATCCCTCAAGTGCGACTGTAAAGGAAATATTCAGACAAATAATATTTCAGAACATTAACATACACTTCAGGTGAGATGATAATGTCTTGTGACTGACCATCATGCCTTCTGGTTCTACTGTAGCTTATCTTTTAGAAAGATATCCAATATTAATTAAAACAAACTTCAAGTGATGGAAACTCTTCCACCTTCTATTGTTAAATTGTTCTAAATTTTTTCCAATGATTACTTATTCTCCTTATTAATACAACTGAAAATTTTTTAGCACAAATTTGTCTAGCTTCAATTTCCAGCCATTGGACTGTATTATGCCTTTGTCTGTTAGATTACATAGCTTTCTGCCAACAAAACTTCTTGCTGTATAAATACTTCTTTGAAGTTACTTTACTAGATTCTAGACTTGGGACAAAAAAATTTTGAAGATGGCTTCTGGCTAACTACTCCTCAAGTTTCCTCAGGAACAGGTGTCTGTTTTGATTTGGTTTATTTTAGATGATAGCTAATTAGGGTTACTCTCCCTAGATGATATTTCATAGATGCCTGATGAATTCCTCCTGAGCCAGGAGTCACCCCTTCAGAGCATGCCTTAACCTCCTGAGCAAAGCTACCTAGGCAAAAGGGAAACTGATGAAGCTAGTTTTCCTGACTCTCCAGGATAGCACCGTGCTCTTCTTCCTTTATGCCCCGATTCTCTTGACAACAGAGTCAGAAAACAGAATAACTGTGAGGCTACAAGTAAAGTGGTAGAGAGGCAGAGAACTTCTGCACAATCAGAACAGAAAGTACTCTGCACCAGCATCAACCTCCCTTAGAAACAGCAGCGAATGAGCAGAGGGGGTGGAGAACTGGCAATGGGTGGTAAAGTGAACTGGCAGTGGGGAAAACAGTTTTTGGATGGAGGTTGTAATTAAGGATGGGGAGGAGCTGGAATCAGAGAGATGCAAAGGGTGAAGCCTGATGTTTAGGAATAGTCAGAATTTGGACTAACAAGGGAGAAGTAGTCATTGGTAGAGGTGGTGCTATAGTTAAGGGATAGGGCAAGAAAGATAGCCTCAGAGAAGCCCTACTTCAGTGCAAAGGCAGAACTGCTCTTAAAAGCCTCTAGCTCATCTTCTCTACCCCTGCTCAGGACAACAATCCTGAATTTAGCATAAAAAAAACAAACCAAGCTGAGACAAGGGATTCCTCATTCAAAGCTTTTGACAATAATTGTGGTGCCTATTATCAATGGAGCTTGATCTAAACATTTCTGTTTAGCTAACTAAGGGAAGAGGATGACTGTAAATGGAACAAGTAATTCTTTAGCGACTCAGGGTTTTAATAAGACGATATAATGGCCTTTCACAATAACAGCAGAGCTTCACCAATTCTGAAAGAAACTAATGCTCAAAAGCATTATGGAGATCTTAGGCTAATTGACAGAGACTTGTACAATTCCTCTGCTAGATCAAAAGCATCTTAAGAGCTTCCAATGGATCACTATAGCATGAACCGAAGAATCAAAGAATAATAGAAAAGTAGGCCTGGATGGGACCTCCAGAGATCATTTAATCCAAGCCTCTGCCTGAGGGAGGACCATCCCTATCCCACACAAATCCTTGTCTAAACTATTAATAACACTATACAGTCAACCCTTTCGCACAACAAGGCCTAGCACCTTAACCTGCCCAGGTAAAGCAGGGGGACGACAAGTCAGCCTGCTGCTGTAAGGGTTGTTAAAATGCACTTAAGGGACCCAAGAAGGAGGGCCATGCCCCCCACTAGAGAGGAAGGCAAAAACTCTTACAGTCCATACCAATCTGACAACAGGGTAAAATTCCTTCCTGATCCCACATGGGGCAATCAATTAGTCTAACTCTAAGTGTAGGAGGAACACCCTTTAGCCAGGAACCTACAGATCTTAGTCTCAGAAGGAGTATAGTATTATTGGTAATAGTGGTATATTTCAAAATATAATGTGTAAAGTTATCATTTACTAATTTTTACCCAAAACATTTCCAAAATATAAACCAATGGTCTACCTAGCCCAGTACTTTGTCACCAATAGTAGCAAGCAGTAAGTACTTTAGAGGGGGAGAATAGAAACAGGGCATGTCTAGTGTGATCCAGCCTCTGCCATACCACCCCTGCCATCTATCATCACCAGTTTGGGTTCAGGACTGTAGATTGTTGGTCCTGAAAAATCAAATCCTTTAACTGGTGAACAGGCATAACACAAGTATTTTTGCTTCCTTACAGTTTTCCAATAACATCTCTCTGTTGTGTCCAGGAAGGTAAGAGAACACATTTTATTTAATAAGAGTGCCCAGAAGGGCATAACAATACATCTGTCCTCTAGAAACTGTTTAGAGACCTCTAACATATTTAGTATAGTCCAGCAAAATTAATGAGATGCTCCAGAACTGTACCCAACTTCTGAGTAGGTAGGGGCTGCATGCCACACCATGCCATACGATTCCCTCCCACCGCCACACCACTCCGTGGGCACCCCAATGCCCCCCATACATAATGCCAGCACCCCCCCACCTCCACTGCACTACATATGCCCCCAAGCATCACTTCCGTGTGCTGGCACTCCCAAGCTATGCAAAGTCACCAGGTCTCCCACACGTCCCTTCATCAATGTCGGCTGTATCACTCTGCCCCCATTGTCAGGTATAGGAAGCAGAAGGAAAGAAGTGGTAGTGAGCACAGAGATGGGGAAGGCAGCACTCAGAGTGGGAGCCCGGGGTCTGTAAGTTAAACCCTTGGGAGCTATACGAGACCGGCAAGCCAACCAGCATTAATTAAAATAATTAAGGGGAAAAAAAAAAAAAAAAACAACAAATCTTACCTCTCTCCATTCTTTGCTTCCTATACCTTGAGTATACAAAACACAGACTGTGAAAAGAAAAAATGTTTAGTCATTTAAACAACCGTAAATTTAAACAAATCTATTTTGTAATATCTTATATTGCAGTTGAAATTACTAACTAGGACAACACATATTAAAACACTTGCACTTAATTCTTAAGACATGTATTGAGATAGCAGACAATATAGTCTAGTCCTTGCAATATGGAGCTCAGAAAAAGGATAGTTAAAAAATGGGCTGTGACACTACTTGACCTCTTGACACTCCTCAGATGTAAAATTGGATAAAAGCATGGCTTCATTAAAATCAAGTGGAAATAATAGTCTGAATATCCTAGTTAATCTAAACATAATTACCCTAAAATAAATCACACTGCCTTCAGGATAGGAGAGAATTAAAGAGAAACAAATGGCCACCCCGGGCCTGTTCCAGACCACCCGCCCATGCTGAGCAGCACCAGTGGCCAGGCAGCTGCTGCTACTCAGCACAGGAGAAAAGCGACCCCTGCCCTTCACCGCTGCTGGGCCCTTCTTTCTGCAGACTCCTGGAGCCCGTGCCTGGGCTGCCCAGCAGCTCCTCTCCACCATTATTAGTGCTGTCTCTGGGCCACCCAGCAGGGCAGCAGTGGCAGTGCAAAGGAGCTGCAGGGCAGCCCAGGCATGGGCTCCAGCTGGCTGCAGCAAGAAGGGCCCAGCAGTGGCAAAGGGGAGGGGCCACCTTTCCCCCTTGTGCGGAGCAGCAGCTACCCAGCCGCTACCACTGCTGCTGCTGCTCAGCATGGGCAGGCAAGTCTGGA